TAAGTAAGAAATTAAGAAAGAACTTTATTCTTAAGTCTCTTAATAATAAAGTTCTTTCTTAAGTAAGAAATTAAGAAAGAACTTTATTTTTAATTCTCTTAATAATATAAGATTAAAACTTATTTAAATTATTTAATATTTAAATTAATTCTTTTATACTTATTTATTAAGGGTTTTAGCTTTAATTTATACTTGCTTTTTACGTAATAATACTTATAGGATTTAAACTAGAATTAATAGGAATTTATACCCCGTTTTAAGATATAAGTAAACCTGATTTAGTCCCTCTTTACAGGTGACTTCCCATGCGCGGTGCCCGATTTGGTCCCTCTTTATAGGTGACTTCGTGTGCGCGTTACAATATTATAATTATATAATTAAAGAAAATACTCTTAAAATTATAAGTATAAATTAATTTAATATAAAATTTACGTTTTAATTATAAATAATTAATATATACCCTTTTTATTAAAAAATGCCTTAATTTTAATATATTATAATAGAGCCCTAGATATAACGAAAATAGGGGGCTGATAATGTTGTGGGGTGACACGTTAGTTGGTTCTGCGGGTGGATACGGCCACTCCCCTAACGGAGGTCGTGCCGCCCAAAAACTTGCCTGTGTCACATTACGACGAGACAGACGGAGAGCAGAGATTCTGTGGACGGCTGCTACAAAACAGCTTTTTTTTTTCTTTTTCGGCCGCCAGGATGATCTCGTTGCCGATTTGACCTGCGTCTCTTTCCTTTCCTTTTGACAGTTTCTTTCTTTCTTTCTTTTCTTTTTCAAACACGGGCCCGTCAGTATGCCCGTCCGTCGACGGCGTCGCCTCACGCCCCTGGCTGTAATGGCCCTCGTGGTGCTGACCGTGCTCTTCATCACCCTGCCCCCGGACTCGCCTGCCGTGCTGGCAGTGGTGTTTAATTCCGCGCGTCTCCGATCGGCGCTGCTGCCGGGCGATAGGGACGCGTGGCTGAGCGAGCGAGCGCGGTATCCGGTGCACTTGGCGAGCGAGGTGGGGTGCCTGATCAAGACGGGGTACGGGACGAGGCATCGCGTCCGGGAGCAGCTGGGTGCGTTTGCGGTCAAGGGCGGCGTGCTGGGCGACGAGGGGAGGGACTACCTGGTCGTGGGGGACTGGGAGGCGGCAAACGGCACCGCGGGGGGGGACCTGGGCGCGGCGGTTGTAGATGCCGTCGGGTTGGTGATGCGGGATGAGAGGGTGCGCGACTCGGCGGACCATGTACGCTTTGGCAAGTACAGGAGCTTGAGGGCCGCGGTAGAGGCCGGCGATGAGCTCAGGGCCGGCGAGCTGGGGGCAAAGTTTGGCTGGGAGCTCGATGCGTTGAAGGTGAGTGCTTTGAGATTTCTACACCATGTTGCTGGGATTTTCTCTGGTACGAGTGGGAGTCTTGTCAGGATTGATGAAATGGCAAGTGACAGGTTGAAGAGGGAGAGCTCTCTGGCTGACTGCTTTGTACAGTTCATCATGGGCATGGAACTATCGTACAAGAGGATGCCGCACAAGAAGTGGTATCTTATCCTGGATGACGACACATTCGTGGTCAAGGAGTCCCTAGAGTTGCTGCTCAGTCACTTGAACCCTTCGAAGCCGCAGTATGTGGGCAACGCGGTGGGGGATTACAAGGCGCGATTTGCTCACGGCGGATCAGCCGTCATTATTTCCGGTGAGGCCATGAGGATACTCTTCAGCAGGCCGGACATTGTGCGAGAAGCCTACGTTCGCTCGTTGGACGAGACATGGGGCGATAGACTGGTGGCGACGACGCTGCAGAGGATTGGCGTTTACATCGACGAGCGATACAGTCATTATTTTAACGGGGAGGCACCTGACATGACAAGGATTCGGGCAGATCGTGTCTGCTCGCCCATTGTTTCCTTCCATGGACTCCGGAATCCTGGCGCCATGGTCCATGCGGGCACGACATTGGGCAAGATGAGAAAGCCGGTACTTTGGGGCCAGCTGTGGGAGTTGTTTGGCCAGACACCTTTGGAGTCGTTTGAAAACTCAGTTCTGAGAGAGGGAGACCATGTTGGTCCTGGTGAGAAAGAGGTCAAGGTCTGGCAAGGCATCAAGACGGCACGGGATTGCCAGCGTAAATGTAAAAGCTGGTGCTTGGCGTGGGCATATGATGGGCAAAATCGCCAATGTCGTGCCAGTCCATGGCTCATTGTTGGACCACGGAACAACGCCGGCGAGGTATCCGGGATTAATACGTCGGTGGCGAGATCTGCTTTTCGAAAATGCTCGCTTGTAGGCTGAAGGCAGCCTTGCTTGAGCTGCCCAGCTGCGTTGAATATTGTGGTATTGTAGTACAGCGTGCATCGTTGGGTGTTGGACCGGTGTGATTAAGATATGAGAACAATGCTATTGTGCATGATAATGTCAGTCTGATGCAATAGCTAATGTCAGGCTACTGTACAGGGCACAGCGTTACCCGCGTCTGGACCACACGAGGTCGAAGAGGTCGGAATACTCAGTGCTGTCTGTATGGAGAATATTTGAACAGAGTATGGAGTACATACATGACCAGGCCCACCTGCGGTTCCTCCGGGCCACGTCCTCGGACGAGCTCAGTTATTTACTATGTACGGAGTACCAGTATTAACTACTCCGTACTACTCCGTATTTAGTATTTACACCCACATTGGATGGAGTACGCAGCGAGCGAGCGAGCAAGCCGCATGACACGGGTCACGCGTGGTTCTCGCTCGCCTACAAATTAAAGATTGAGGCGCATGGCGATCCAGATGTCCCCCGGCAATTGAGCCCGATTTGCGAGCTGTAGGTTGTCGGCATCGATTGTCGGATTCGTACGGAGTAGTCCGTATTGTGCTTTACAATGCAACGGGCACCAATTGATGTTGCAGTGCAACCAACCCGAGCTGGGTGCTCGTCAGTTTTCAGGGGTACGGCGTGCTTTTCCTCGCGTGCGCATGAATAAAAAAGAGGAGCTCGTGTAACATTCGGTGCGCGAATCCCGTTCTTGCCAGCTGCGAGTCGGTCAAGACAGATGAGCACGGGCTGGTGGATTGTGATAGATCGATAGCGCCGGAGATGAAGGGAAAGGCCAACGACCGAATACGTATCAAAACAACATTCGCCCGGAATGGAGCATGTTACTGACAGCAGACGTCATGTTGTGTTTTCCATCATTTCCAACCTCGTGGTTCCGGGTAGCCAACCCTGGCGTATCGACTTTCCATCTTTCTGGATGGATGTCTTTGACCGGATTGGTACTTCGGTGCTCCGTAGCGCCAGCACGAGAGGAGCCAAGGGATCCATCCGCCGTCATCCCCTCAGGGTCGGAACCAAGCGGCGCCACTCGCCCATCGTCCAAGGAAAATAGAGTATTATGTACAAAGACTGCTGCCGAGGACCTGCGGCTGGCTTCGCCTAAGCACGCATGTATAATTGAGGAGTCACGCGGGGATCCTGCTAGTGCTTCCGTCTGGAGGGCGAATGATGCTCCCCGTCCTCCAAGTGGCTGTCCATAGGAAGGGGTTCTTCTTGTAGATTCAGCAGACTCGTCCCTGCTCACCGTACTCCGTTGCTCCGTAAAACATGTTCTGTTGGGTTTGGTTGTTCTTTTGCCTCCTTTTGCCTGTCTTCCCCACAGCGGCAGGGCCGAAGTGACGCCTGGCAGGGAATATGGGCATGTGCCATATGCCTTAGTTCCCACTCTCGTGACTGGGCCGCAATGGAATATGAAATGTCTCCGTGCGCAAGGTTTAGCTGGGGGCTGGTTATGATAGGGGGTCTGGAGCTGACAGAGTTCGCGATATTAGCTTTCGCTGTACGGAGTATCGAGGCGTGGGTCCGATGACGATGGGATATACTGACTCGTATTCATAAGAGGTGTACGTGGCAACGCTACCAGTTGGATAATACGATCAAGTGAATAAAAATAAATGTTGGAAAGATTGGCTGGGTGGTATTGGTGATAGGGCGACGGGTTGGGAATATGGCTTCTTACAATTTTGAGTCCTGGTCTCTCCATCCCAGCCAACGGTTCAAGCATCAGCCACAATGTTCTGAGCCGTCACCTAGCGGCACCTAAGCCCATGGACAAGCCTCATCTTGACCTTGCACCACCGCCACACTTTGCTAATTAATTTTTTTTCCTCCTCTCGCAAGGAGCGACAGGCTGCACACATTACCAGTACCATGTACCTCCGTAAACACAGACACAAAGTGGCAGCCGCCCTCTGCACCAGCAAACACATGCATGGCGGACTGGGAACCTTGTACCTTGTACCTCTCGAGCTCCAGTGCTCTCTTCCCGCCCGTGCATGTAACTGCAACTCTAGAATGTAGTTCTGGGTCAGCGTTTTTGAACCCATTCTGCACAACTCGACATTGGGGATTGCTTCAACGCTTTCAACTGGGGCACCCCAGCCAGCTACCCCGACTGTCGTCCGGAGCTGGGACTTATTAGCATTCAGACGAGACGATCCTTTTCCATCTCCCTTCCCGTTTAATTATTGTTCTTTATCTACCAGAGTGGCACCCCTGTACTAGATCTCTGGGCCGGCGCGCAAAAGCAAGGCAGCAAGGCCTGGCCGACCACGGTTGAGCAAGGCTTCCTCTCCCAACCCTAGTCAGGGCGTGTCTCGCGCTTTCTATCCGGATCCCGTCAAAGTCAATTGTGGACTTCACGCCCAATTTGCCATCTGGACGCCCCTTGTGTGACGGCTGCGGTCAAACCAAAGCCTTCCTTCTACTGGGCCGTTATACCCTTTCGAATTTCGTCTGCTGCTACCCGCTGTTGAGCTTCCCATGTCGTCCGATAAGCTCCATAAATTTTCCAATTAAAAAACACTCCCCCAAAAGGCCATGTCTACGGACGACAAGAGCATGGCTCAGGACGCCGCTGCTGGTGTTGGCTCTGATCCAGCTCCAGCTCCTGGCATTGCTGCTTCCTCTGGTGCTACTACCACCTCAAGTCCTTGTCCCAATCCTGATATCGCCACGCCCGGTACCGCTGCTGTTGCTTCTGTGGCTGCTACAGCTGCTCTGGCAAGCTCAAGTACCGTTCACAGCCCTCCATCAAAGTCAATATCTCCTTCTCCGTCTCCTTCAGTGCCCGCAGAGTTGACGATCTCGACTACACCCACGACGACGACTGCCGCTACACTTCCAAGTCCGAGTGCAGGCCCGGCACCGGCCTCAAGTACCGACTCAAATCCTGCCGTACCGACCTCGTTATCGCCGTCCAAATTGCCTGCTACCGTCGCCGCCGCCGCTCCTGCTCCTGCTCCTGCTCCTGCTCCTGCCTCACAATCTCAGCAGAACGGTCACAGTGAGGCGTCCGAGGCCGACTCAGATATGAACGGTTACAGACCCGTTCTGACGGCCCACAATGGGCTTCCCGTGAGCTATTCGACTACCACAGCCATGGTATCGACGTCTTCGCACCTGGCTGCCGCTAGCCCTCCCGTCACCTCTGGCTACGCCTCACCTACTGGTATCTCGACTGCACAATACGCATCCTACCCTGCGAGTACGACAGTATCACATCCGTCCGAGAGTTATAGAGTCAGCCCAGTCCCAAGCGGCAACACAATGTCTTTGCCGAGTATGCGAACGATCGATCCACTACCTCAGCAAAGGGCTGGCCAACCACAAATGCCACATCATGCCATGTCAATAAGCATGAACTCTTCTTTGACGTCTACATCTAGTGGCCCAACAATCTACCCCCCTCACCACACCATGTCCGTACCCTCAAATTACGGGCTGCCTTCAGATTCTCTACCTCGTTACCCCCTACCTCACGACCCCAGGATTCTTGGCAGCAGAGGCCCGAAGAAGGTACGTTTGTAGACATTGAGGAGTGAATATGCGTCATTTCTGATCCACGGTCCTCCCGGAATCTGTGTTCGACTCGATAGTTGGACTGACTTGATGCTTTACAGGAAATCAAACGTCGAACCAAAACGGGTTGTCTAACATGTCGAAAGCGTAGAATAAAGGTATTTAACGGTCCACTTGTTTCATTAACGCTTCTATTTCCCCTAAGTTATAGTTACATTTCTTCCAACTTCAAGCCAATCTTTGCAGTTGCTCCCATGCGTTGCTATCAGTGCTTGTCGCAGTAGCACCAGTCAGATTTTATGTCTGACCTTGCTCCGATGCGGAGGGGAGCTCCAAAAGTTAATCCGCTGCGCAAAGTGGGTCGGGGAGCTTTCTTATTGTCTGACCTCTTGCACAACATGCTCCCCTCCATCACAAAATCATTTCTCTCAATTCGCCAATCTCCGCGCCAATGTCGATGTCTAATTTATCTGCTAACGTATTGATGACACTGTTGGAACTATAGTGTGATGAGACGCACCCCACCTGCAATAATTGCAAAAAGTCGAAACGAGAGTGTTTAGGCTACGACCCTATCTTCCGACAGCAACCAGGCGCACAGCCTAATTCTCACATTCAACCTGCTCCAACAGGTCAGCCAGTGGCATCGTCATCTGTTTCTCCTTCGGTTCCAGCCCATTCAAGTGCTGCAATTGGCCACCCGCCTGCGCCTTCGAACCCATACGGTAGGCAGCCGTCGATGCTTGCAAGTTCCTATACAACTACATCCCCACCGTCAACGCTTTCTTCCTCCTCGGTGGCACACACCGTTTCATCCAAATACAACTCGCCAGCTTCCGCCAGCGGGACGCCAACTATCAAGCAGGAGCCTGCGTTTGATTTTGCGAGTCCGATCGATCCAGCTAGTAGACACTTGCCACCACCGACTGGCCCCGACATCAAGCCATACGACTACAAGACATTGACAGCCGTGGACAGCAGCCATCACGCGACACGTATGTAAATATGCCACATAGTTTTCAGACTCTTGCTGCAGGTGTGCCAACTGACTGGTTCTTAGCTAAAAAGATGAAGATCAACGAAATAATTGATTCGCTTGGTCCGCCTCCTCCCCCGCAACAGATAAGCCACACTGAGGAAACTTTTAACGAAATCACAAAGGTGTACCATGAGATGTACGCTGGGGGTTTGAGCGCTTTTCTGGAGACAACATGGTATTATTTTGTCGATAATGGCAAAATGTCCTTTCCCAGAGACGCCAATCTTATCGAGCACATGGCGACCTTCCTAAAAATCTTGGAAGCTGTCAGAGCTAATGACCACTCTCAAATGGCTTATTCCGGAGTGTTGGAGACAAGAATCGTGTGGGAGCTTGCTTGCACTGCCTATCGGACACCTGATGCAACAAATCAGACAAAGCGCGCCACCATGCCACCGGAGGGCGATGCCACGGAAGCAAGGAATCGCCTGCGCGTGGTTGAAGCCTTGCTTTGTGGTGAATATCTAGTCACCAACCCTCTTGCACCACCGCTGCAAGATCCAGATACCCAACGTACTCGTCAGTTTGACTTTTGGTATAGTCTGGCGGAGTTTGTTCGAAAGCAAGACTTGCCCGGTTCCCATCAGGCTCTTAAGGCTAGAGAGGATGCACTGAGTAGAATGAGGCACTTGCTGGATGGAAGAGAGAATCGTGATGTTCTTTACTCTATAGCCGTCGTTCGCGAACTTGCCCCACATTACGGTCCCAGCTATGGAAACACCCCCCAGTACGCTGATGAGACTGACCCAAAGAATCGACTTGCAGTCGCTTCGAAATTCATTTTGGACGAAGCACAAGTTACTGGTGGCACTACTAATGTGGTGCGCCGATTTAGTGATATTGCGTCCCGAGCCTTTGTCAACCCTGGGGTCAACGTTGCACGGAGAACCGGTTAAACCACAGAGAAGACTTGGTAACGAATACATTCGCCACACATACCACATAATTCAGCATACAAGCGTTCTTGGCATTTATTTCGTCTGTTATTTTTGATTTTACACAGCATTTGGAAAGCATTGCGAAGGTTTATAAAAAGTGTTTTCCATTTTTATTTACGGCGTTGGGCTTTAAAGCGAAACTGCGCTTGGGTCATCTTGATCAAACATATATTTCTTTTAGTACCGGAACTTCTACTTCGTCAGCATACTTCACAAGCCCCGGCGTTTCGAGTAACCATTGCTTTATTGGTTTAATACGCCCGCTGTTGTACTATTATAACCTCACTGTTGATGGACAGCAGACGGGGACTAGAGATGGGATGTCTCGCCTTCAAAAGAGAAAATTTCATTTTGTAACAAATGGGAATTCGGGTGTGTTGTTTTCTATAAGGACTTGCTCAACTAAATAAAGGAAAGGTACGATATGGATAGAAGAAATATTAATGCCAAAATTTGGCTGATGGAGAATTAGAGAATAAATAGGATACTTGACCAGTATGAGGGTCACTCAACATACATTTTTATTTTCAGCTTTTTGTGAACATGACGGATACGACATGACCGAACGACATTCCTTCGATGAGATTGAACGGCATCTTGAGAGGCAGGCCCTCTGTACTCTGTATTGTCTAGAAAGATAACTGTTAAATCCATACTCAAACCCAACGCCGAATTTTCTGTCATAATATCTACAAATACACATCGTTAACCCTGTTTCAATGATATAAACTCCGTGCTAATAACGTATCCTTGGTGTCCAAATCAACGCATTACAAGCAACCACCGCTTGAGCAATATGCAGCAATAAGACTAAAAACTACCATACCAAATGCTATCATCTGGCCGCATGCCAGACAGGACACCTTTAAATTCGCACATGGCTCTATTCTGGGGGTCAACTTTCCACCCACTTACTACTTCGCTTTGTACGAGTAACTGCATCACCATGCCCGATTCGGAGTGCCACGTATTGTGGCAGTGAAGCGCCCAAATACCAGGGTTGTCGAGTACAACGCGGACTATAACCCAGGAGTAGGCTTCCACGGTGACAGTGTCACGACGAAGGGGGTTCTCTGGTATGCCACCGTGTTGTCGTAGGTATTTGTCTAGCGTCGCTGCTGTGGGTGGATATCCGCTCCTAGCTTGAGCAACGATGAAAAACTTGTGGCCGTGGAGATGGAAAGGGTGTGCGCCGTCGTCAAAGTTGTTGATAGAAATGTCGACTGTGCGTATGCCCTTAGTCTGAAGGACAAAGTCGTTGTCCTTGTTGAATGCTTTGTCATTGATGGCTAATGGGGCCTCGAGGCTGGTTAATTCTGGCTTGGCATCGAGGAATCGATGGAGAGAAGGGTGGGTTGCGTTTGGATGCCAAGTGGATTCGTTGAAGAAACCTCGAGCTAGACGCCAAGCTCCAATCATGAAGTTGGCTCTGAGGGCGACGAAGTCATCAGCAGGGGGAGGGCTGATGTGCTGGACTGGATGTAGAGCTGATGTGTTGAGGTCGCGACAGATGGTTTCGATGGCCTCCGACCAGTCCTTGCTTTGGGGATCGGCTGTAAGGGGCTTTGAACTTGATGAGATGTATCGCAATACGCCTCTGATTTCGGGTTGTAATCGATCATTTTTGGTAGTGAAGCAGTGCGTGACCATTCTAGCCCGCAGCCAATATGCATCAGCAGTCGTGACGTTGGTGTCGACAATGACACTATAGCGTTGAGCAGGTAGGATGTTGAGACGATGGAAGGCTTCCGGATGAACATCTGTCCCATCAACCTCTGTGATATAGAATGGGTGTTCGTCAATCTGAATTTGGAATTCAGCAAAGGCTCCTACGTTGATGAATCGTAGACGATGCCGTTGGCCTGCAGTCAAGTCAAATGTCGGCTCAGACGTGTTGCTGCTGTCGCAATGCCACCCCTCGAAGTCATCACAATCTCGCACGCCACGACCATTGATGAGCGCGTTATCTGGGACAGGCTCATCATTTTCCTTGTCTGGCTGTAGATAATCCATTAACAACTCAGCCGTTGTGTTGTGGTAATGATCTTGGACCATGATGACTCTGTCCGTCGCGTAATCGACCTCCTGCAGTGTAAGCTCATCCTGCGAATGAATGACGACAGGACCTAACAAGCCATCCGATGCCTGAGCACTATGGTGGGCATGATACCAATATGTGCCGGATTGTCCACGAACAACAAACTTGTATGTAAAGTTTGAGTTGGGGGCAATGGGACATTGCGTGACACCGACAGTGCCATCCATCCAATTGGTTCCATTCTGGAAGAGTCCGTGAAAGTGAATTGATGTAGAGTTTGCGGCCTTATTTTCCACGTTGACAACGATTGTATCAGCTTCGTTGGCTTCTACCAAGGGGCCGGGAAATTGATTGTTGATGAGGGTCATGGATCGATAGACTCCATCTGGATTCAATTCAGCATCTGATATTGTCCAGTGATATTCCCGCGTTACTGGAGCGGCACTGCGGTCCCACGATGGCGGAAGTACATATTCAGATGTGTCTCGCAGACGTGGCGTGGCGGGAATGTCTTCATGATAATGTATTATGCTGTGCTTCCAGTCATCAGTGTGGTCTTTGGCTGGATCATCTTGATGTCTTGTCCCTGCAGGTGGGAAGCTCAAGATGATTCCAGATAACCCCAAGATGGTGGTGAGGAAGAAAATGATGAAGAGGCCTAGTTTGCAAAATCCGTGCAGCCGTGAGGCTCTCCTCTTTCCGAGCCAGGCGGGTGGACTCGCACCTGCCTCAATTTCCTCCTTGTCTCCTGCTGTCTCTTGCGCAAGAAACGGCTGCTCCTCTGCCCGTTCAAGGGCCTCTACATCTTCTCCCGTGGACATTCTGCCAGACGAACCGCACCAGCACCAGACTGCAAGAGACTGGTGAATCACCTCCCAATATTGTTTCTTAACTTGTGTCACGGCAGACAGCAGTCGAGTCGCATGGCCACTTCGCCCTGGTCCACGACAAACCGCGGACCTGCGCTGCAGAACCACAAGCGATCTGCAGTTGACGCCAGTGACCAATGCAGTAAGCGATAAATTGGCTTATTCAACAGGAAGGGCTTCGTTCGAGATGGCGGCCAAGGTACGGCCGGGAATAATAACCTTGGTTAACCGTGGTCGCATGGAAAGTAACCAGCTGTATTCCAAGACCGGCGACCGAGAAGAATTGTCAAGGAAGCTTGTTGCAAGACGCGCGTGATGGAGCTGTCAGATGCTATTGGGTAGCATCACCAATCTTGAGACCCCCACCAGGCTGGCGACTGGAGATGGAGATGTCACCAAGATAAAATGGTCCGTCAACGTGCTCAATTTGATGGACGACTGGCCTTCCTAGACGGATGAATCGGCATGCGACAGTGCATGGAACCCCCTGCTCGAAAGAGTGACCATCGCAAAACTCGGTGGACACCACTCTCTACCTCATCTAGAACCTCTCGCTTCGGACATCGCTTTTTTTTTTTCAACTAAAACTTGAATTGCCAAAGGAACAAAGATTTAGGAGGCCCTTACTCCGTTGGCACTAGTCACCCATCTGACCCCGCCACAGAAAAATGGTGAACCTTGACCACGACGCTCCGTATGTTAAATTCGGCCCCACGTAACGTGCCACCCCATAACATCGTTAGCCCCCTATTTTCGTTACATTTATAATAATGTAATTAATATAAGAGCTCTTTTTTTAATATTTAATAACTTTATTAAATTAAGCTCTTTTAACCTTAAATTTATATTATAACCTTTATTAATATTACTTATAAGAATAGAATTAAAGCTATTATTAAAGATATTAATTCTAGCCTTTTAAAGGTTTAATCAAGGCAAGCGCCGTGCTGTGGGTTCCCGACCGGTAGCGCTAACATGGAGGGGTGGGGCCGACCGAACTCGGCCTCGGCGCTTCGCAAATTGTCCTCTAAAAGCGGCATCTCATCCTCTAAAATTGATGCTATGACCTCCACAATTGGAGGCACATTTGCGGTGAACCTGTACTTTTGTTGTAATAATCGACGACCAAACACGGCATGTCACTATAATTTGAACATCACTTGCTACTTGATGGCTGGTCCATCCGATTTGACCCATTGTAAGAGTCACCTATCCGCATGCCTTGCCACGGCTCTCATCCAAGGGAGCCCGGCAACCTTGATAGTCTGAAATGTTCGAGGAATGGAAAAGCCGTCAACAGAAGGTACAGTCTGCCCTATAAATGCGAAAATTTCTCATCCTTCGTGATCCCTAGCTTGGGCACTGTTGAAGCCGGTGGTGACGCTGAACTGGTGCACTACTTGATGACTTGCCTGATACTGCAACGGCTTGTACGCCCACTACCCAGTATTTATCCTTGTTAGGCTGGTGAGATGCCAACAGAGCATGTATGCGAAACCATGGCTTGCAGAATCTCTAACTGATTAGCTCAATTGGTATTATGTGGAACTGGACGTTCTGCCCACCTAGGCCCGTTTCATGACATGCCACTTTAGTCAATGCAACAGATTCCCCGTTCAACAGAGGCCGATGAATGCTTGAATAAGTTGGGACCAAGAATCTTGCCATCCCCATGTTGCGACTGGCTGTCACAACCTGTATGCACTATGTGCCCAATGTCTATCTCGGTTCCCCGAAATGACAAGCGACTAGACATTACTTTATGTATTGTTTCCTACATTTTTCCCAGTCCTTCTAATTGTAGTTCCTTCATCTAAACAGACGGCTCCTCATCTTACCGACAGCTGCATCACTTGCTATACTAGCCTCGCAGTAGTTATTAATATAAATTAATTTAATATAAAATTTATGTTTTAATTATAAATAATTAATATATACCCTTTTTATTAAAAAATACCTTAATTTTAATGTATTATAATAGAGCCCTAAATATAACGAAAATAGGGGGCTAACGATGTTGTGGGGTAACACGTTACTCCGTACCGAGTACTGGTACCCTGACATGGCCAACACATTCTTTCACCAGCTTCTCAACTTGGGCTTGCTCGAGAAGCTCGGTATCAGTTCTTGTGGCCTCAATGTCTCTCTTGTTTGGTCTTAATTAGGTTGCGAGGCACCCCGGTAGCTTGTAGTACAAACAATTTCACCACCGACGAGGGGCCGAGATGTGGGCCGAGATGCAGGAGTAACCGGATTCTGGGGTACTATATCTAGGTACCCAGATTCGGAAACAAAAATTAGGTGTTGTACTGCGTCGTACGGACGGTGCTCAGGGAAGGTTCAGTTAAGAAAGCACTATTGCTGACGCTGTACTCGTAGGGTCAATTAGTCTGCATCTAGACAACATCGGTCTCAACGGATAAAGTGCCAAGCTGTGTGTTTACGAAGTACATTCGCAGTCTTCCTCCGTCCGGCGTGGGCGTAGCCTTCGTACTTCATTAGGACCTACCGCACTCAGTAAGGTGGGCCAGCAAGCCCTGCCGCCACGGCAGGCGTCATCAGACTAAAAGTGTTCAAGTCAGCAACTACCTAGGTACGTTATGATAAAATGCTTCACTCCGTTCTCCGTGTGGCCATGCATATTTTACGGAGCAGTACCCGCTTGAAGAAGATTGGGTGACTGGGTACCTTACCGGAGCATACCGTTGCGCTCAGCTGGTGTGAGAACCATAAGTAAACACTCCGCCCCGGAATATCGATCGACCTTTACGTAGTAAGCTGGCAGTTACCTGCTTAATTGTTTTGTCAAGCCAATTGCTTTAGGTTCGAAAACAAGCAGACATGTTTCTCCAAATTGCTGCAAGCTTCCTGGCTGTCGCCGGCGTCGTCTCTGCTACTCCCTGCAAGTCTCAAGACGGCTGGGAGACGAGTTACACAGCTACTGGCACGGCCGATGTTGCAAAGGCTGCCGCCACAGCAAAGACCAGCAGCCCTACTAGCCATGTGAAGGGCAAGGCATTTGACCGACTTGCTATTATTTACTTTGAGAACCAGAACTATGACAAATCCTTTGGTGACCGTAAGTAATTTCCCCGGGCAACTTCAGAGGAAGAATCTCCGATATTGGAATGCCAGGTCTAATATCCACCACAGCCAACTTCAACTGGTTCACCAAGAAGGGTATTACTCTGTCCAACTACTTCGCCGTTACTCACCCTTCTGAGCCCAACTACATGGCCTCCATTGCCGGTGATTATTTTGGTATGGAAAACGACGCCTTCACCCGCTCGCCTCGCAATATTTCAACAGTTATTGATCTCCTCGACACCAAGGGCATTTCGTGGGGTCATTACCAGGAGGACATGCCTTTCTCTGGCTTCGAGGGCTATGCCTACCTCAACCAGCAGAACGGTGCCAACGACTACGTCCGCAAGCACAACCCTGCTGTTCTACACGACAGCATTACCCACTCTGAGCAGAAGCTGTCGCAAATCAAGAACTTGTCTCTGATTGATACCTCGCGCTCCATGTTTCACAAGGACCTCAAGGAGAACAAGCTCCCCCAGTGGATGTTTATCACCCCCAACATGACCTCGGATGGTCACGACACCTCTGTCACCGTCGCTGGTGTCTGGTGCCGCAAGTTCCTTGAGCCCCTTCTCGAGGACAAGAACTTCATGCAGAACACCCTTGTCCTGGTCACCTGGGACGAGAACGAGTCGTACGCCGCGCGAAACAACATTCTGGGTATCCTTCTTGGTGACGCTGTTCCCCAGGAGCTCGTGGGCACTGAGGATAAGAACTTCTACAATCATTATTCCGAGATTGCCACTGTCTCTGCCAATTGGGACCTTCCCACCCTTGGCCGATGGGATGTGGGTGCCAATGTCTTCAAGATGGTTGCGGACAAGACTGGCGACAAGCTCCGCCAGTGGGGCTCACGGGAACAACTCCAGAGCATGTACTGGAACTACTCGTATGCTGGCCAGTACAACGAGCAGGGTGGAAACAAGATCTTTCCTAAGCCCAACCTCGATCTTGATAGGGCGTACAACGGCCGTCGTATTCTCCAGTCTATCAAAGACACCTGGAAGAACAGCAACGCTCCTACTTATTACAAGGACACAATTGAGACGCCTGATGGTCTGCATCCCCCCAAGGGGTATGAGCCCGAGAGCAAATAAAATTTTCTATGGATAAATATTTATGAATATCAATTATTATACTATAGATGAAATGGGCTGGGTTGTGGGAAAATATGAGGGATACTGTATCAAGGATGAAGCTGAATCATGGCGAAGTAGATTCAAAGAGAACCTTGAAGAGAACGTTTGGAAAGCGACGACAATGTGTTGTACAGAAGTAGATGACCCTGCCACAAAATTGTCTCTAGCTTCCCGTACTCGTCAGACTTGGAATATAGAACAGTGGCCAGCAAAAGTTATGGTTGGCCTCTGCATATGCTAAGCGGAAGGCCACCCGAGCCCAGCGAGCGGCACAGCCCCACCATGATGCAGTTTACTTGACACTCACTACTATCCTTCCCCTGGCTCACTCTTTCTTCCACTTGGGGCCGAACTTTATGGTGACAGTGAGGTCTTGTGATGCGCACCGTAACATTGGGATCACCGACAGTTTCTTGATGTCTGATCCTTTATTTGCTTGGTGTGCGCGTCCCTTCTCGACTGGTACAAACAATGTTGTTCTACTCCGTACCGCCAAGGAGTTTTGCTGCACCCCTCCCCCCTCTCCTAGCCAAGCCGGCACTGAAAGATTGACCCGGAGTCACAGGGGGTGTGGAGTAAGCCGCATCTGCGTCAAGACACAAACGAGCTGGCCAAAGGGTCATTGGGGCTCCAGGGATTCCCCTGGTCTCGCCGGAGAGCAGCGGTCCCCACAGAGATGCTGGGCCCCGCGTGCCGTAAGTTCGTCCCTCTCAGCTCCTATTACGTAGTCCCTGCCGGCCTCCTCCACCTGGCTCAAAGCGACACCGACGAGAGGAAAGTGGTGGTCGAATCAGTGGTCGGGTGTTCTTAAGCAGAGCACGTGGGCGTGCCCATTCGCTACTGAATTTGTAGTTGAGAGATTTGGCTCCTGCCCATATTTCTGCAGGCATCCGCACAAGAGGGAAAAGAAATGTCTCGGTGTGACTTTTTGAGCGTAACCGCGCGTGGCCTGTCCACACCAGCGGATTACCGTGATGCGGGTGGCTTTTGCTCTCTGGGTCGGTCTACTCCATGCCTACTACCTAGGTAGGTACATAACGAATAAAGACTCAAGCAGACGTCAGCAGTTTCTTTTTTTTTTTTTTTTTTTACCTCGGTT